AATTATTCCAAATAAAGGGTCCACAAATATGACTAAGATATTGGTTTTCTTACTACCTATACTAACCCACTACAGGAGGTATAAAATCGTATATGTAAATCACCATTATAGAGAACTAAGCTGTCATGCCTCTGTACCCTGTAATTTCTCTGCTATACTTGAGGTATAGCAGAGAAATTACCTTTAACCGAAATACAGCTTACAAAGTAAAATAAATTTAAATTTAAAACATCTTTTAATCATATTTATTGAGCAAAGCCTACTCACTAAAGGATTACTTGAATGACAAACGTGCATGGCAAAAGTTGTCCATCACGGAATTTTCATTTAATGTTAGACATAAACACCTACATAAGTGTATAATGTAACCAAAATGGCTTTAAAAAAAGGAAAATCAGTTGAGTTTCTTGCCAGAATTGAATCTGTGTACTGAATTGAACGGTAGGGAAAAAAATATTAATACTCCTTGACGTTTATAAGCGGCTATAATGTACATATGTATAAGTGGCAATAACTACATAAATAAAATATTATTGATTTTGTTTATATTGAAATAAAAAGCAGGCTGCTTGCCGGTGCGCATAAACTAACACAGTGGTAACCACGTAAGCTATTGTGTACAAAATCTATTTCGGTAAATTTATTATAAGATAGAAAACAGCTATAAAATATATAATAATTATTGATGTAAACTGGCAACATTATTTAATAAGAATGTAATAGTTTATGAGAACAACTGAAACTATGTAAAATTGGTGCCAATAAAAACTATTGTTATTACTATTAACCTGATGAAAACAAGAAATATTTTACATATATTTTGGTGTAAACATAATGTTAGACCTATAAAACCTTAGATACCATTCCTATTTTACGGGACATGGATTCCCCCCCTTTGAGACTTTGAAGGGGGGGGGGGGGTTAAAGTTGGGCACTTTTTAATAATTAATATATCCTTTTTTAATACTGATATTACAATGTGAACATAAAAAAACTCTAGGACCCTCATAGTTGAAACAATCCCGTTAGCTACCGTTATTTAACCAAATGTGTGGTTAGTTATTGCATTTTAGCAACCGCATTTTATCGGTCATTAACCATCTGACTGTGACATAGAAAAAAATCCGTCACCTTTTTATTTATTTTTCGATATAGGATATATTTCTGGTCTAGATGATGACCTACATATTCTGGGATTTTATAATGCACGAAAAGCATTCGTACGTGTCCATTAAAATAGTCCAGTTAGGTGTATTACCTAGAAAAGAGAAAGGCTCGTTTTTAGATATTCTATTTGAGCCTTCTTTTATACAGTTCATTTTTTTTTAGTGCTCCTTTTTGGACTCTGACTAGTGAAAGTAACAAGCATAAAATGCGGTTAGTTAACCGTTAATAACGAAAAATGCATTTTAACCGTTTATTTTTTTTTACATAACAAGTTTTAATGTCACGCATTGTCACAAGTTAAAGGGGGCTCTAACTTGTGACATAATTTCTGAATGGTCGCTAAGTATGGTCGGGCTTTCGCTTATTTGTCATAACGTTATTATTACGCTATATAATAAATTTTATATTTATTTATAAACCGTAAAATATGAATACATCGTTCCTTATTTACAACTAATCGAATCGATTTTCATTAAAAACAGTTTCTAATATTATATTTTTTATTTGCTAAGTGTATATATACATTTCAATTACAAAAGTTTTACTGTTATCACAAAATATGATAAAATAAATACAAATAAATTATAAAAATTCCTAACACAACGATTACATTATAAAAAAACGTTAATATTATAACTATTATTATAGACGTTATGGTTTCCATTATTGCTTGGTAATCCGTAATAATATAGTAGGCCCCGGATCTAGAGAGGGCAACACGGGGCCCACGTCCCGGGCGGCAAGTTCTGGGGACGGCAAATTCGAACTTAACAGATGAATACACAATTCATCTTAACGTACCCTTGATAACGTCACCACTGAGACGTCAGGTTATTTTTCGCAGAGCGCATACACTATTTTCAAACTACACATTAACATTAACATAAAACAATATAAATTAATAGCAATCCTAATTCGACATGTTATATGTTGATATTCATATTGTAAATATGTTGGCCGGTGGGGAAGGCGTGTTAGAAGCGCTTTTTTCAGTTACTGCCGCGCCTCGAAAAAAATTAAGATTCGGGATTATATATATAAAATAAGTCACAAGTGCTTACTTCTCCTTCAAATGGACATGCGAGAGAATTAACTACTTGCGCCTTTTTAATTACTAACAAATAGCAATATACAACTGTATAATATTTTTTAGATTTATTTTCTTTAGGTTGTTTGCGCGTCTTCTAAAACCATAAAAAAAACATCAAAAAAAAGTTTGTAAGCCGCCACATTGTTTTTTCCCCGCCCCCCTTCCCCTGCACAATATGGACAATCATTATTCGCCGCCATCTAACAAGTGAAACAACCACCGCATGCATCAATTAAACAAAAGGAGCTCCTTAAATATTATAACAAACTGTATTTGTGTCGCGAGTGTGGTGTATTGTTATTGAAAACCTCAAGTGCTTCAAGTCGCCGACGCAGATCATCTATATACTATAATTTTGTGCAATTTGGGTGAGTTCCTTATTTCCCTTTTCCTACGATCACTGCAGTGTGGCTAACAAATACATCAAAACGTAAATTGATTTTATATTCATTTTTGTTCGGATTGTCGCTTATAAGTCATAATTTTGTTTATTCTATCTAATGATATATTTAATGTATTTTATATTTTATTTAGGGCTCCGCTGAAAATCAGCGCTGTAGCTTCGGCAGCAGCAATATGCGAGCGGAGTCCTGTTTAGCAAATAATTGTAAATTGTAAAATTTCTATATTAAATTAACTAAATAATAATTATAACGAAGTAAATAATATACATAAATATATGAAAGAGATAAAAGAAAAGAAAAAACGCTTCTTGATTATTGAAATGAGTTTACTCTCTGTAGGTGACACGTAACTCTTAAGATTTCTTTTTTATATACTACTAGCAGTCCCGGCAAACGTTGTTTTGCCTTAAAATAAAAAAAAAATTAGGGGTGGACTACCCCTAACATTTAGGGGGATGAAAAATAGATGTTGGCCAATTCTCAGACCTACTCAATACGCTCACAAAATTTCATGAGAATCGGTCAAGCCGTTTCGGAGGAGTATGAGAACGAAAACTGTGACACGAGAATTTTATATATACATAAGATATAGGTGACAAACAAGTATACGGCCCATCTGATGGTTAAGGCTTACCGTAGCCTATGGACACGTAATACACCAGGAGTGTTACGTGCGCGTTGCCGACCCTTAAGAAACCCTAATATATATGCAATATATACACAAACTAGTTGGTATTCTGTAGAATTACATTACGATATCTCACTCTCTACCTAGTCTCTTCCCATTTCATTTGGGGTCGGCTCTCCGCAAGGTGTATCTGTCCTGGTTTCGACGTTTTTTATTATCTATATTAATACTAATGCAATTGTGTGATATTTCTAACAAATAAATAAATTATTTATCAATTTAAAAGAACACAAATATACACCTGTAAACATCCTCAATGCTGTATAAGATTCAGTGGCAGCTTTAGGGGGTGGCGAATAAGCGAACTCGCTCGCTCATGCATCGCGAAATAGCAGTTTTAAAAAACCAGTAAGTGTCTCGCAATGCATAAGGCCGCCACTGATTTTATATATACATAAGATATAGGTGACAAACAAGTATACGACGGATGTTACGTTTTTATTATCTATATTAATATCTAATGCAGATTCATTTGTGTTTACCACTGATCGGAGTAGGTACAGCTATTTGGGATCATTGACCTCGAACATTGATGTTAATATGGATGTTTCTTGTACAACTTCAGAATGAAAATGTTGACTGATTGTTGATTTTTGTACAAATATAAGAAATATTTACATTAAAATATATGAGGTTTAATTAATCATGTTTCTATCTATTTATTGTACTATCCTTTAAACCGACCTTATTCATATAGGAAATATGTTTTCTCTCTCTGTAAAATAATAAAAAGCCATTAGTTTACATAAACAGCTTTTTATTATTTTTCTACTTAAAAAAAAAAACAAATCCTGGTATTCTGAGAATATCCATATTATTCTATCATATGGCAAGTACATAAAATAGCTCTACCCACTTCGATCACTGATCATTACAGTATAGCATTGTATTATTGGCTAACAAAAGCCATATGATCTCTCCCATGTCACATTTATAATACTTTACTATGCACTTATTTCCAACAAACTTGATAATGTACAACATAACAGTATACTTTTAACTAAATTTCCTATAAATTGGATCCCAATTCTTAGTTTACGACCTTTATGGGATGATAAGTTTATCATAAACTATTTAATAGCAGGGAATTGTTCGGATTCTTAACTAAATAAGCTGCCCAAAATAGCTGTGTTCGACATACATTAAATAAACAATAGAAACGCGAATTTCTACGCATCGAAGTTTAGATTTCTTTACAAACTTGTAAGAAATGTTCATAAGATTTTAAATAATTCCTATCAAACCCATCAAACGCTATAAGGATTGGAGAGAATCGTATATTTCACTTCAATTGCGATTCGGATATATAAATAACTCGTCCACGTCGAAAAATAAAATAATGTCTAAAAAAACAGTAGCCGAAGTTACTCTTTATAATATTAGCTATCTGCGAGTGAAAGTCCCATCAAAAACGGTCCAGCCGTTTCAAAATTTGACACTAACAAACTGACAGTCAATTAAAAAAAATGTGATTTATATACTTTCATATGTTTGTGAACAGCTGTTAATTTGAATTTACTAACGAACACTACAAGTTTGTTTGTATACATAGTATGAAACAGCCGCTCACAGAATGCACTAGTACTCTGCCTACTAAATGACTTAGCTATTGTATGATTGTGTCTAGTTGTTTTGTATTGTATGGTGTATTGTATAGTCTAATTGGCAAACATTTGCCATATACAACTTTTAATACCTTAGAACAGACTAAGACTGACTAACTTTCAGTCATATTTGTTGAAATTCATTATCCCATCATCTTCGTTCAACATCTATTTAGAAGTGTGATAAACTGACTGGCTTATTATTCCTCAATCCTTTCAATACAAAACTAATTTTTAACACTATAAGAATTAAGCATATTTTTAAACCTCCCGCTGCGAAGGATCCCAGGGTGCTTGTGACTCTCACATGAGATGTCAAGCTTGAGGTGGTTCATCCAAGGGGTTGGCTTGTGGGAGATCGTCGTTTCTTTCCTCGCGGGTTTCGAAGGCGACGGACGAGGAGCCGCTCCGACTGGTCGATGTCGACGTCGAGCTCGATGAGTCACCGACTTCCGCACTGCTGGATTCCCTGAAAACATATTGGATATTTCTTTTCAAGGGACTTCGAAGACCATAATCTTATTAATATTATAAATGCGAAAGTTTGTAAGTATAGATGTTTGTTAATCTTTCACGCAAAAACTACTTAACGGATTTAGATGAAATTTTACGGTAATATAGATTAAGCATCACAAATAATTAACACATAGGCTATATTTCTTATTGAAATTTAACGCGGGTGAAACCGCGGGCTCAGCTAGTTTTCCATATATTCAATGATGATGTAACGTACGATTAAGAATGAGTCATAAAACCTATTTATTTAATTTATCGATAAACTGCGGGAAGCCACAACACATATTTTTGCGGGGTAAGAAAAAGAGAAAAAAAAACGAAGACTAATTAAATAAAATGCAAAAAAGTGCATGGACCTTCGGTCTGTGGACAATAAGGGTGTAAATTAAATAAATATATATATGTATATTCAATGTGTTCGCTTTACATCTAACTATAATAACGAGTAGTCACCCAGTGGTCTAAATTCGACCACAGACTTTAACAATAATGGAGTATATATGTATGTGTGTCAAATACATGGTAGTGTGTGTGTAATGTTTTTTAATGTATTTTATTAAATTTTTAAAATACGTATAATAATAAATAATTTTTGAAAAAAGGGGTTTTTGTTACAAAGTTTTTGCTCGCGTATTAATATATGCGTATAAATCTGAATGAATTTCGCATATATGTATTTCGATGTTCGCTCTTCAAAATTACTTTTAAACTAATTTTGTTACAGTAAAATAAAATATTATTCCTCTCGCTTATGCTTGCCGATATAAAAAATAAAACAAAAACATTTTGTGTAAGTGTAAACCAGGTACTCGGCTCTCTGCCTACCTGTAAGGAAACTGGCTTGAAAATAAATATGCAAACTTACTTTTGGAAGCCGTTAGTTTGGCAAGTGTTATACGCTCCACAATGCTGACACTTCAATCCTACTACGTGAAACTTGACTGTAGACAGCTGGGGAAAAAATAAACATCTTATTAATTCATTTCAACTTTCATATTTATACATTTTATTATATTACAGCGATATCATTGACAACTCTGAACATGTCCAAACATTATCAATTAATTGTAATTGTGGCAGGATACAATATTGTACTATCTGCTTCTTCATTATCCCATTTATTTGGTGTCGGCGTAATGTTTTTCGCTTCCATTCATCTCTGTTCGCAGTCATCGCGTTATTTACTTCCTTTCTTACCATATCATCTTTCACACAGTCCATCCATCTCTTTTTCGGCTTTCCTCTGCCCTTATAACCATCCACATTCATATGTAACACCTGTCTTAAAATATTATCCTCATTCCTACGCATTACATGTCCATACCATGATAGACGATTACTCTTCAACCTCTCTGACACCGGTGCCACTTTCATACTTCCTCTAATGTATTCATTCTTTATCTTATCCATTCTTGTCACACCACACATCCACCTCAACATTCGCATTTATATTATACTATATTTATTATAATATGTCAGCTTACTTTTTTATGTGAATCGCAAGTAAGCTGATGGCCCACATGAAGGTTTTGGCAACCATCGCCTTATGACGGACTTGGTGGTCTAGTGGTTTAGCACTATGCTTAACATCCGGAGGACGCGGGTTTGATACCTCACATGGTGCAAACATTTCGTGAGTACGATTGTTTGTATCATTGTACAATGTCTGTCTAGATAAGATGGGATTACAAAGACGTTGTGCCTACACTTGTAATATTTCTGTCAACATTCGGCACACTCCTATTAGTTTACATCTCCAGATAACATACGTTTAAGTTAAGTGTAAAGGGAGTCCATATTGCGACTCCGCGTCGACGCGTACTCGTTACTAATAATCCATGTAGCACCCTATCCAATAAACTTAAAATGTACAATAAATAGTACAATTATTACACCTGTATACTCACTACATAGTCACTACAATGACAATATATTATGTAGCGACACCTTATCACATCATACATAACACTGCAGTGGTGAGGTGATAAACACCACTGCAGTGTTATATATACCAAATTATTGACAAGTTTGCTTAAGATTAAGGTCCCAACTAGAAATTAGACCTTTGGAAATAAAAATTTACATATAACAGAAGCATAACAACGTGACCAACCAATAAAAATCTGTCTGTTTTTGTTCACTGTCACGTAAAAACAGTTGGACGAATTCGGACTAAATTTTCACAGCATATATTAACATATTTGTAAAAAGTATAAATTTTTATACATTATTAGTTTGATAATTATAGTGTCTTGTGTGTGCCATCTACCTCTTCTGTGTATGTTAGTCCTAGCTTGCAGGTTGTCTGTAAGAAATTGCTTATAAAACTTATAATTTTCTATTTATTGTTTTTTTTTTCTGTACTAAAGAGTTTATTATTATTATTATACTTTTTACAAATATGTTAATAAACGACAGTAATTACCTTATGGCAGTCTTTGCACAGTATAGTAGCTTTGTAGTCCGCGTACTCGGCTGGCATCGGCGTCGCAGCCACCTCTGAGTCTAAATAACTCCATAACTGTAAAAGAAATGTTACATTAGTTAGTACAGCAGTTGACTTTTAGTAGGTAGTCATACAGATGCAACGTAACAAGCTGAAATACTAGTAGCTAAAAGGGGACTGCTCATATTTTTATGTTTACGGCATAGAAATTCGAAGCCCGTTCTCGCTATTTGATATAAGCGATGATATGCATACAATCGGGAACGATCAGTGGCATTTGAAAACGAATAATTAATTATTAAAGGAGTTCAACAAAGAAATGCATTTGACTATACCATTTGGTTTTACAGATGTAAAAGTACATTCCATATTTAACTAGTTCTATATCCCGGATTTGTACAGGTGAAATGAAAAAAATGAGAATAAATCTTTCCTATATACTACTTACACAGGAAGAATTTTTAGCACAATTTTATTTTTTTTCGGACGTTTTTAACAAAATATTTTCTTTCATTATACCTGACAATTTTAAATCAATGAATCTAATTCATTGATTTAAAATTGTCAGGTATTAGGGGAAAGTTTTCTGAGGTGATGCAGTCGCATACATACGACAATCTATTTGCAATGTACAATGTCACGTAGACCTCAACACCATTCTTCCTGGAAACCATCATGATAAATTCCTAGTGAATTGACAGTGGTAAACGGACCCGACCTCATACTCATCTTATCATCCTCCACTGCTGTCCCGTCAGTGTAAACCGTTAGCGCAGGCGGGTACACCATACCGACAGATATGAAGCGTAAAGTAATCATATATGGTAAAATAATGTCAAATAAGTAACTCTCATTATCAGCCATTAAAAAAAAGGGGTATCTTTTCTAACATACATTTTTTTGTTTATATAGAATTCGACGGTCTCGTTGGTCTAGCGGTTTAGCACAACGCTTTGCTTTCAATGGTCCCGAGTTCGATTGTTCGTACGGCACAAACTTTTGGATTCATGAGTATTATTGTTTGTATCAGTCTGGGTGTTTTGTATGTATATGCATGTACAAAAAAAATCTAAGTATATATCTAGTCTGTCAGTTGTCTAGTACCCATAAAACAAGCCCTGTTTACCGTGCGACTAGATGGCGCTGTGTTAATTGTCCAGGGTTATTTATTTATAGAATAGAAGATACTTGTAAACTTACATTAGCCATATCAATCATACTGGTTTGACACGTTGGGCACGCGTAGTGGCCGGAATGCAGCAGCTGCTCGAAGCACGGCCGGTGCAGTAGGTGCCCACAGTCCGGGATATGGCACGGGATGCGAGATGTGTGGATGTCCTCAAGGCACACCGGACAGTTAGAGCGGGATACATTCTCCACGCACTGAAAATTAATAATTTATTTGACTTTAGCAAAAAAAGGTATTAAGTTCTTCAAATGCCAACCGTAGAAATAAAAATCATCTTTATTAAAATAAACTAAATATAAGCACTTTTGAATAGTCACATTTTTTTATTCTACAACTCATTAGGAATACAGACTCACCACAAGAAGATTGTACATGAAACTTGAATGTTGCTCTTTTAAATAAATGTTGTTCTAAGTAAATATACATTAACAAGGATTGGTATGCGACAATCAACATTATGTAACCGCTATTAACTCAATATTTGTTCAATCAGATAACATTGTCAGAGCTATGAATTTTAAGTTATATTTTGTCTACAAAAACATTACAATTTATAAACTGTTCAATTTTATACTGCACATACTGTCAAGCATGGGTCGTTGCCGGGTTAGTTTACGATCAATATCTGACTCATTCTGTTTTAAAATACGTATAAATTCTTTATGTACTTATTGGCTTCTATATAGTTAATACCACAATCGGGAGAAGTTTGGTTAGGTCTGATTGTTCTCTCCATGAAGTAAACCAAGTAAAAACAGCAATAACTTGAAAATATATATAAATAATACAACTGAAGGACTTTTATCTAGTCACGAAAAATAAAAGAAAAACTGATAGTTCTAAAATTAAAAAATATCTCATATCAGACTATCAAAATATACATATACTGAATATATCTCACCCTATGTCCGACACGTTGCAACTGCACTGGCAGACACATGTTGCACCGCTCACAGTGGAAGAACCTATCACGACCGCCCACACGACATATGCCGCAGCCATCGCAGTGGTATTGTTTTTTGTCTTCATCATCGAACAAGTTGCAAATTAAACATGTGTACTGTAACAAAAAAATAATATAACAATTAACAAGCATTTACACGTACGTTCATTCACGCGCGAAACTACTTTCACGCAGGCATCCAAACATGCTGAGTTACTTAACATACTAACTTAAGCTTGCGAAGATTAGACTCAATAATCTCTTCTTGAGGTAGTGCCTGAAGAGATTTACTAATGATACAATGGCCAGAAGTTAAAACGTCTAAATCATTATTTGTCATAATTACTCAAGGACGTACATGTAAATGTAAACAAAGAGAGCGAGAAAGAGCGCGTGCGCTCTGCCAATTCACAAATTTCTACGTTCTTTAATCGTGCGAGATTTAGCGTCTATTTGTAATAAATAATTATCATTACAAAATGGCGCACATCTGACTAAAATTTATATTATTATAAGTATTATTGCCATGGGTTCAGCCCTTGGCAATGCTTAATATTGTATTTAACAATAAATACCCTTGCGTTAGCCGGGTGTGCCGCTAGTAATTAATAAACAAACACATTTGGACAACTGTAACTTCATCTAGATCGTTTTATCTTCTTTTATACCATATATTTAGAGTAGCAGTCAAGCTGACCGCTCATAGAAAGGTTCCTAAAATCATGAGCAGCAGTCATCTCAGAACACTTTTAAGGTTGTGGTACCTCTCACATGTTGTGTCATTCAAGAGGATTAAGTTGTTATGTCTACATAGCATAATATCACTATAATAATTCACCCTATTCTCATATTTTATTTATCATTAAAATATATCATTATTTTAATTTTGACGCAGTCATTATTTATACGTATGATTAGCAAAAATTACGGGATCTGACCATTTTATATTTATTGAGTTCTCGATAATTCGGGAGTGTTTCAACCGCCATAATCATCGGTAAACTTAGTTTAGCGTGGTAAAATCCCATGTTTTTTACTAATTATACATACCTACATCATTATTCATAAAGCTTATTCCACCAATTTCATATAAAAATATCTTTGCATCATACCTTGCCAAATGTGACTCCACAATTCTCACAGACAGCTTGTACTTTCTGCCGAGTATCACATTCGGTGCAGATCAGTTCCGTCACCGACTTGCGGTTGAAGTAGTGTTCTTCGTTTTCATCATGGCAATAACGACACATGTAGAACTTGTTGCAGCATGGTGTCTGAGATAGTTAGAGAATAATTAGTTTAGTACAATTTAAGTATATCTTTTAAATTGAATATAGGGAATGTTGCACCAGCGTGCACTAACAGTGTTAGCATATCAATGGACAATGATAGATACGATAATGGAATAGTGTTTTTTATAGATGATAATGGAATTAGACTCTTGTAATGATGAATGTACTTAGTAAGTAGTATATAAGCATTGGTATAATAATAAACAAAACAATTCTAATCTCACTATAACGAAATGTTTATTACTAAACTTAGTATGCAATTTTATTTAGTATACACATATAATTACAAATTGTATATATCTATACATCTATACATACAAATAAAATTGGAGTGTCTGTTTGTTATATTGAAATAACCATTTTTTACTACATGCATAGGAATATAAATATGCTATATACACCAAAATAACATTTTTTACAATATTTGTCTGTCTGTCTGTTTGTTCTGGTTAATCTCTGAAATGGCTGGACCGATTTTGATGAGACTTTTTGGCAGGTAGCTTATGCAATAAGGAGTAACTTGGGTTACTTTTCTCATAAGTGTACTTTAGCATGTTGGGTATGGACTTGAATGTCCTATGATTGTAATTGTAACGAATTGTAAGATGTTATCCAAAAATACAGACATCGAAAGTTAGGTTACTTTTATTTTAGAAAAATAAAGTTAAATTCCATGCGGATGTAGTCGTGGGTACAGCTAGTATGGATAATAAAGCTTAAATAAATACATATACATCCTTAAAAATAGTATAATAAAAGTTTTTTTTTGTAAAGTACTCTAAAATTATTATAATATTGTATAATTCCATTATAATAATAAACCTTTTTTAAATATTATACATAAAATATAATTTTCTTTTTTTATTGAGGAGATGTAAGGATGAATGTATTTAGTAAGTAAGTAGTATATAAGCATTGATAGAATAATAAACAAAACAGTATACACTCAAATGTCGTCTCAAAATACCTATAATTTGTCTAACAAGCTCCACTCTTATATCAGTTGTTTACACTGTCGGGACATCAGTGGAGGATGATAAGATGAACATGAGGTCAGGTCAGTTAGCCTATTGTGGCAAATTCATTAGGAATTTATCACAATGGTTCCGGAAACCATTGTGATAAATTCCTGTGTGGATGTCAACCTGACATGGTACATTGCTAGCAATGGGATCATTAGTCTAGTTTACTAACAATCATGATCAATAATGTGGTGTAGTTGAAAGTTAGGCCATATATAATAGATGTAAAACAACCTCATCATAGTAAAATGAAATTTAACAATAATATCTTATTACAATTATGTTTTTCAAAGAGAAGAATGGATCAATATGTAAATAACAGTGCTCAGTGAAAGTCTTTGTTTTACTGAAGCCATTATTTAAGTTTCATTGTTATGTGTACTCAACAACTATTGTATTTATTATTTTCATTGTTCATTCTTTACTATGTTGGTGTAATATGAAATTCTTAAGAATTATACAGGTATTAATTAAAGAATTCCAATTTCTGTCTTTCAATCCTTAATTTTATGGGGAAGTCTGTTAATTACAGGGATTAGTAGAACTATTGCTAGCATATGCACCATCCCCACGAATTGCTGTTTGCCCTTTGGTGTGTTAAGTCCGCCATGTGAACTTTATTTGTGCATCGAAGTTTTAGTAAATAAATCATCATGAGCTAATTGACCTGACTTTGTGCTCATTTAATCACGCTCCACTGGTGTGCCTTGAACAGCATTATGATCAATTTAAAAAATAATCATGATTCTTCAAAATAACACCATATGCGGGGGTTTAGTTCGTTGACATGGCTTTGTTTTGTGAATTCACAGCCCATGCGAATGCGAAGTTTCTACGCCGCGCATGTTTATATATAGATTCGCGTGTTTTGAACCCGGCGCCGTTCTAGATTATTATTATTAACTAAATAATAGTCAAATGTAAATTAACTCACCACGAACTTGGCTCTTCGTTTATAATGTGCACAGCCAATGCGTTTCTCTCCGTTCTGCTCCGCAGAAGCGACACCATTCTTAACTTCTTCCTTTTCTTTGGACATCTCTTGACCTGATCTTGACGACCTTTAGAACAATGATGCTAACATGAGCAATAACAGTCCAAGGCTGGCGATTAGTACTAGATGATATTATCTATACGATAATGTTTTATTTTAGATAGATGTTGATGATAATTGAATTTACAAATTAAAATATGACAGATGGAAAGATGGTCTTGACGACGAAACGAATAACAATCAACTGTGACTTTGACATTTTAGTATTGTCAAATTTGACAAATAGTGCTGTACTGCCAAAGCCAAATTAATGAGTTTTCAATGCCAACTGTCCATATCAAGTACTATTATAGCATTCTATTCCGATGCTTTAGAATAAATAAAAATATAGAGATTTTGGTCGCTCCAAGGTCAATAAGTGTTATTGATGTCGTTTTTTTCTACCAAAATATGCAGAATATGGTATCTTTAGCGTCTATATTGTTACCGCTATTATTTGTTTGTAATGTAGCAGCAGCAGGAAAGAAGTGATAAGTCCAGTAATTGCTATTTACATTATGTATAGTAACAAAATATTTACAAGTGATATATATACAAGAAGGCGATTCGGTCTCGAAATGACAAGCTTGTTATTCTTCTTGTCCCATCGTAACTAGGCAACGGTGTTGCCGCACGATGATAGTAGATTCGCCACATATCGAAACCAAGAAGAAATTAAAAAGTAAAAAGTCTGCTTTGTTTAAAATCAAAAGGTTGTAAATAAATACTTATGTTTGACGAGTGCATGTTTTTATTTGTTACCTTATTATGTATTATATAAATAATGAAAATTTAAATACCCTATGTCATCGCTTTAAATCGCGCTATTTTACACAGGGGCGGATCTACCTAAGGGCTTTTTGGTGGCAGCCCAGGGCAATGAGGATACAAAGGGCCCCCAGTCCCATGCAAGTACGCGGCTATCGAAAGTAACGGGACGTCGCTTTTTTTTTTTGGTCGGTATATATTTTTTGTTGAATAATAAAATTAGGTAGGCCGCTAAGTAGATTTAGCCTAGGGCCCCACAAATTCACGATCCACCCCTGATTTTACAGTTCAACTTTATACGTCATCAGAGTCATAATCTGACAAAATATTAATTTAATGGTCCTAATTCCTCTGGCTGGGACACAATAAAAAAAATAGACATATATTTTGGCGCTTTAATCAAAATCCATCATTGTTAAAATCTAAATAAAATTTTCAAGCGTGTTCACAGACTTGTCACCGACATTTACCATAATAATAATCTGAATTATTTATAGAGATTCATATTGGAACATGAAAGCTGCAGTGCTTCTTGCTATTTTTATTTATATTTTTCAAAAATCCTCTGGTTTGCTACCTCCAAAGTTTCAATGGAAATCGTTAGATTTTGCTTTTGAAGCTCAATCTCGGGAGTCAGCCATTGCTTCAGGGCTGTATATACCAGAAAATAATATGCCAACAGGGATAGCCAGGTGGAAAGAGAAAATATTTATTACAATACCAAGGTGGAAAAAAGGTACAACGAATAGTATGGATTCTTAAAATTATTACTGAAATTAAACTATTTTTAGAAGCACCTAGTCAACTTAGCTTCTGTTGCGACCTTACTGCAATTCTTATTATTCGCTCTGCATGTTATTTATTTATACCTGAGGGAGAGATAGAATAAATTTCATAGTAATCTACAATAGATTCAATAAAATCTTAGTACCACGCATTAATATGAACTAGGTAAAGTTTCGACTGATTTTCCTTTATAGGGGTCCCATCTTCTCTAAATTATATTCACTTGAATGGTAGTCAACAGCAGCCTCTTATTCCGTACCCGAGTTGGACAGACGCCATGTTATCAGGCAAGGATTGCTGCGTCAGATCCAACAGCACTGTGGTATCCACGTTTAGGGTGCATGTGGACAAATGTGACAGACTGTGGGTTGTGGACAATGGAGTCGCCGATATGGCAAGTAGGTAACACAGAATACAACGGAAAATTGAAGAATTTTAAATGAATTTTTCAGTTAGGGTAGGATTAACTATAAGACAGATAAGGCATCTGGGTCCCCGTATAGGATAGGGCGTATCCCGTACGCTGTACGCCCTATCCTTTAATGTTTCATAGACTGAAAATGTAATCAGACAAGTTGTATCCTGAATGATCTGATAATATTGCTTATTTTCGATGCAGATATATATAATAGCATTAAAGCAACCTTGTTTACACACATTTTTAAACAGAGAGTGGCCCAAAAGTGTTTAATGCGGCTCTGATTCCAGTCACAAATGAAGTACTAATATACTCGAAAGTTTGTGAGGAATCCTCATAAAGTTCCATTCATCCTCACTGATTTCCTTCTGCATTAATTTGATTGGATGGATTAAAATCACATTTGGTACACAGATATATTTTAAACTACTTCTGTGTAACTGAAAATAGATAACAACATTCTATCACAATTAGGCCCCAGATTAATCCCCGGCGAAGTTGTTGGGAAAAAGCTTATTGTTAGGTACATAAAATTTGATCCTTTACAGACGAGGTGAAGCAAATATCAGATCCGGCCGTAATTATTTTTGATTTGAACACTGACAAGTTAATACGACGGCATACGTTAAGTGACGACGTATTAAGGGATTCCTCCATATTAACCAGTATTGTAAGCACATCCTTTTCTAGTGCAAAAATCATGATCGGGGGAAGTAGGGAAAATGGTCAAAAATGTATTAGCTTTGTAAATAACTAACAACCCCCTTTCACCTACTGCTCGCTTCTAGTAGGGATTGTTAGTAATGTGGACTGAGAACCCTATTATAGTAGTGTGCCATTTCATGTTGACTTAGCGCGGTTCCCCTTCCAAAACCATCGTGATAACGACGGAATGGCGGAAACCATCATGATAAATTACATATGAATTTGTCACAATGAGCTAACTGACCTGACATCCTTCACTGCTCTCATCCAGGGTAATAATCCGTAGAATTTCAGCGTAAATCGTTAGCGCAGGCGGGTGTACCATACACTATATGACGCTATTTGAATTGTTTAATTTAATTTATTTATTTATTATAAACTTTAATGCACAACTAACACTTTAAGGCATTTTTCTCCCAACCATAGGGCTAACAAAGATTGTCTAGGGTTGTAATTATTATGTTCTACTATGCTGTCTACTTTCTTCTATAATCAGGTAGTTGATATTGAGAAGAACTGCAGCGAGGCTTTCGCCTATATACCTGATATGGGTTCCAATGCTATAATAGTGTACAGCTTGGGAACTGATGATGCGTGGAGAGTTGAAAACCATTACTTCCACTTCGACCCTCACGCTGGTACTTATAAAGTTGGTGGAGTGGACTTCTATTGGAGTGATGGTGTATCTTCTGTTGCTTTGTCGCAGCCGAGAAAGGACAGGTACAGACCTATTTATTCAAGTCAGCCTTATATATCATATGGCCTCGATGGTCTAGCGGTTTAGCACATCGCTTTACTTCTGATACTTGCAGGTTCGATTCCTCACAAACACAATTTATGAGAACACCCAGACCGATACAAACAATAATATTGTTTGTATCGGTGTGGATTTAGTATGAACCATTTTGATCCTTGTAATATTTTAATTAATAATGTAATATGTTTTTACTTAACTGAGTAACATAAACTATTTATTGGATTTTTTTAAATAACGTGATTTATCTTAATTATCAAAGTGCTAATAATGACCATAACCTAGAGGGTTGAAGTCAATGCTCTGCTTAAGTAATATGAGTAACAAATAATTGACTGAAATTAGTACTATTTAATTCTTATTATATATTAATTAAATTTATTTATTAATAAATACAAGATAATGTGTGAATTTATTGTATTCCAAATATTAAACTTAGTTATTGTTATTATATTTATATGTATATTAGGAAATTGACCCCGCGCGTTTACACTTCTGTCTGTGTGATAAACATATGTTGTGTGTGTGTTTATAGCTAGTATTATTGAAATAACATACTTTCATGACTAAATGTCTATTTGGTATTAATGAAATTTTACATGAGAATAGATTGAATATTTTGCATGAAGTAGAACATATCACCAGGACGATTATTGGCTTTTATTTAACAAAAAGCAGACGAATACACAGGTAATAGTGAATATAGACGATATAATTTGACCTTTCTCTAAATAAAAACATTTATAATGTTGACTTTTCACCCAAACACGCATAATTATTTGACATAACTGTACAGTAATGAAAGTTTCCGTGAAATATCCTCTACATTGCATCCACATTGATACTTGATATAACACAAGACACGATAACATTTCAAAAATAAACATAAAGTCAAATTGGTTTAAACTTTTTCTCTCAGATGAAAAAATACTAAAATGACAAGAATGTTGCTTTTTATAGTGCAAAGAAGATATATTATATATATATATTTAACAACAACTTTAAATTAATATTCGTAGAAATAAGTATATATTAGCAAAATTAATTAAATATTACTTAAATTATCAAAATTGTTTAGTCGCAATACTAATGTTCACTGACAAATGTTTGATCTCTCTAAGCAGAGAATTTACTTTTGGCGCAACGGAATTTATACAACTTTAAATTATTATTATTGCCTTATATATTTTTTTTATATTTCTAATTTACAAGTATATTAACTTTATTATTATGTTTTTTTTATGCAAAAATTTCGTTGTATTTATGAGAAAATTAGAAATGATTATGGCAAAGTTTTGTTGAAATTTCCAATGATCAATTTTTTAGATATTTAAGTTGAAAATGAAAAAAAGGACGATGCTGTCTCAATTTATAAAGTAATTATCAAGTTTTAGTACAAATATCATATCAATCTATGTTTGTTTATTAATGAACGACAACCCCAAACTCTTGAATAAACTATTTTAGAAATTAGGAAGACTAACAAAGAGAAAATTAACATTTCAAAGATGTTGTTTTTAAGATTGATCCATCTATATAATTCATCAAAATGTATATCCGACTCTTAGAACCAGAACCCCAAAGTTTTACGCCAAAAAATGTGAAAGGCCTTTAATGAAATTTTACTGAGAATAGATTGAATATTTTGTCTTATTTTTTATTTAACAAAAAGCAGACGAATACACAGGTAATAGTGAATATAGACGATATAATTTGACCTTTATTATGTAGCTACTATGGTTACAGTTTCCGTGACCTCTTCTTGCATCCGACTTCAAGCACGAAACAGTTCAAAATGTCAACGAAACTGCTGAAAGACAAGAATGTTTCCGAAGAAGATATATTTAATGGAGTTGTTGTAAGTAGCTGATCTCTCTAACAGAGATGGCCTGCCTTACGACACTTACAGGGCTTAAATTACCAACGCCAAAGTGGCGGCAGAATGCTAACGCAATCTTGACTGTTATGATGGTGTTGTCGCATACATTCTACACGTGCAACCTTCAGTCTAGTGGTGTCTTTTTTAGAGGATAATAATGGAATGGTGCACCCGCCTGCGCTAGCGGGGCACTAGTGGAGGAAGATAGTAGATGAACATGAAGTCACATCAGTTAGCCCAATGAGACAAATTTACTGGGAATTTATCACGATGGTTTCCAAGGGGAACCACGTGGAGGTCAACCTGACATGGTACATTGCTAGCAATGGGATCATTAGTCCACATTACCAACAATCCCCCTCTTCCCTCCTAGATGGTGTTACACGTGCGTGTGATAAGAATTGTAGGAAGCTGCAAGGCTAAAGGTGCTACCGTGTTGAAAGTGTGTTGCGACAATGGTCTTACTCATTCAATGAAACAAATTTATTTTATTTAAATTTTTTACTTAATTTCGTAGCCATTACAATTACATTCCATCACTTATTACTTCGACATTTATCTGTTTCTTGTACTAGTGTTGTGTCAACAATCTATAATCATGCTAGTGATGTACTCATAGAACAGACTTCGGTAATGTCGACTGGTATATATTATATTTATTATTTTTTTAGAATCTTTACATAGTATAGAATGAAGTCGCTTCCGCTGTCTCTTCGCTTAGATCCTTTAAACTACGCAACGGATTTTAATGCAGACTTTAGCAATAGATAGTGATTCAAGAGGTGGGTTTATATATACATATATAGTAAAATTGTACCCTTACGAAGCCGGCTGCTAGCTGCGGCTGTAGTTAGTAGAATCCAATTTATTTATTTATTTATTAGTAGTAACTAGTTCTATAGTTGTCGACCAATGGTCGAAATTACGTATTTGTTTATGAATACATACGGTATTGAAGTACTAATCCTAAATAAAAAAAAATAATCTAAAGAAACTAGTCTTTCATAATTAAACCCCTTTACCATTGTTGTTATTCAGGTCGTCGGTGACAGGGGTCCAAATTCTCAAGCGACTGCGTGCGACTATGATCCCGTCAGCAATATATTGTTTTATACACAGGTAATGGTATAATTTATTTATTTATTTTATTCTCTATTGAACCATAAATATTGTACAAAAGGCGAGCTTAATTCCGTATGACATTCTCTCCCAGCTAACCTTTAGGTATAATTAGAAAGCGCGGTAGGGTAGTAATAGCGAGAACTGTGATAAATGATATACTGTATAATAAACTAAATTGATAGGAATTTTCATGACTTGTGACCGTCAGTTCTTATTAATCCTCGTCACAACAGGTCACATTTAGGGGACTACCTTCACCCTAGTGTGACTTGACATATTTTGCAATTCACTTAGTACACTAGTAGATGGAAATATTTTAAAAATTTTCGTTGTAAGTTCAAATAATAAATTTATTAACTTTGAAATGTGATGTGATGTGATCTTATGAAGTTTATGACTCCTCCTGCCGCTTGATCACACTTTGTCGACCTCCATTTGTGATATCATTTATAGATGGCCCTGTAACATTTGAATCTGCCACAAATCTAATATTAATACATTTATGCGCAGTTGTGTAAAAACGGAGTAGGATGTTGGAACACTGACAAGCCGTTCAGCGCTGAAAATAATCCGCTAATTATAAGCGATTGCAACCTTTTGGAGTTTCCAAATGATATCAAGGTAGTTATAGTTTCCCAAATACATTCTATTTCATATACCTAATTAAGAATCCTATGCCTGCACTAGTAATATTTCAATCAACTCTCGGCACCCTTCCATTTGTCTATGTATCCACATAAGATTAAATTCCTGTGTAATGTCAGTCCACGGTATTGGTAATGATTAAACTCCGCATTGAGTTTACATATTACCAATCACCCGTGTAGCACATTATTAAATAGACTTACTAATGTACAATAATTCCACCTGTATACTCACTACCTAGATCTATTACTTTGTTTAATATACCTTTTATTATTTAGTCTTATCTAATGTATATTGCATGCATTTATATAATGTATTTTATTTAACTACTAGGCATAAAGAGTGTGGAATTTAGTCCAGTTTTGTACCAACTGCATAACTTCAGAACAAATACTTGTAAAGATACAATTTGTTTTGCGTGCTATTAATTAAATAAATATATCATATTCAATGTTTCCATTACGTGCCAGGTGGACCAAGAAGGTAACATTTGGATACTAAGCGACAGACAATCCCGTTTTCTTTACGACTCAATGGATTTCAACCAAACGAACTTCAGGATCCTCACCGCACCCGTATCTACCGTTGTACAGGGAACGGCTTGTGAGAAAACCACAGCTTTCGGTAAAGCTATGAGCTTCGTGAAACGTGGTACGACAAGAAGTAGACAATCATTGTCAAAAGATTTATAAGGACATGATTGTAGTAACATACAACATAGTTCATTTCGCTTGTTACAATTACTTAACCTATGTTAATAAAAAAAATGCGAGACACCAATTAGAATTACCTGTCCCACCCAGTGTCTTAGAATGGAAGAGTCTATTTTATAGCGAATTAGGCCTGTTGGAATATATAAGGACTTCATTTTATTACAAGAAAAATTATTGTCTAAACATTTCTAAAGCCTTCATTTTATTACCAGAATCATTGTCCAAAAATCTATAAGGCCTTTCTTTTTTGATAGACCTTATATTTAAATGGCTAAACATTGATAATATAGGCAATATTAGTTTTGGAGTCCTGAATCGCTTCCTGTTTTGCAAAATCAGGGCCAATTTCGTAGTGTGCTTTTTCACGGCTTTAGATACTAGTTCTGGCTAATAAATAAAATTAAACAAGTGTAATAATTTAAATTTTTATTTAAATATACAACATTATAGTTATAACTATATTTAATTAAATAAGTCTATGTGATTTAAATAATATTTGCACGTGTCGCCACCGCCGATACTATCGTTTTCGATTTCGTTCACATTAACTCAGTCTTGTCACTAAATACTTCTCGTGAATCGAACTCTACTGCAACATGTGTCTAGATAATAAATGGGAATGCTTTGTAATAACATAACATTATAATACAAATATATAGTATAAAAAATACTTTAATAATTCGTATAAAAGTAATAGTTTCCTGTATTTCATTTGTATTTATCAATTCTTTTATAATAACGTCTTTATAACTACGAAAGCGATAATTTTATTTGATAAATCATTACAATAAAAGAGGTTTCGGTTTTTGAAGCAATTACATTTTTTCCTACCAAAGTTCTTGTTTAAATAATCAGAATAATCCTTTATTAAATTGTACATTTTTTAATTGAAATATTAAATAAACTCCAAAAAGAGACTAGAAATTCTCAAAGAGATTGATTCCTCAAATATTAGATAATTCCATACAAAATGACAAGTGCGTTATTTTCACGAACAAATAATACGACAAATGTAAACATTTAAATAAATTAATTCGTACCGATAAACGGTTAATTCATTTTACAAATTTCATTCTACTACTTTGTTTAGCTTTTTCGATAAAATATATGAAGAAATTGTATGAATTAAGAATTGTGAATAATAAACCAGAACGATGAATTAAGAACTAGATAAAAAACGGTAAAATAACGTAGACTTTTTGATATATAAGTATTCGAAAAAAAAATATAGCGTATAAAATCGCATACAATAAAATCACAATATACAAAAGCATGATCTATTTTCTAAACACATGCGAGTCATAACATTTGATATCGTCCTGTGCTTAACGCGTGTACGAACCAAAAATACAAAAGCATTGCAAATTGTATTTCCAAAGAGATTTCATATTTACAAGATTATTGCTCGTCTTCATAGGCCATAATAGATTAGAGTATAAAAACATGATTCGATATAATGTAATAATTCGAGTGCAAATGACTCGGATTGTGTAAAGGTTGGTGACGTAATGTACGGGACTTGATTGATCAAATGGAGGCATACAGCCTAATTAACAACATGAAGCTACTTGCATAAAATGTTTATTTTATAGTATATGGGTCAAACGAGCTAGCGGCTCGTTTACTTACTGCGATGACTGATTACCGTCTCCCTTGAGCAGTTGCTACACCAGGGGAATTGCAAGCGCGTTGCCGGCCATTTAAGAAGGAATAAGTTATTTTCTTGAAAGTTTCAATATAAGTATCATAATACGTTCATAATTATAAATAACCCGTCCCCCGGCTTCGCACGGGTGTACATGTATTATATATACAAACCTTCTTCTTGAATCACTCTATCTATTGCTAAAAGCTGCATTAAAAATTCGTTGCGTAGTTTACAATATATAAGCGAACAGCCAGCAGAAGCGACTGAATTTTATAGTATGTGAAGATTTTATGAAATAATCAAATGATTAAACAGTAGTAAATAGTAAATGAGTCTCTTGTCTAATCTAACGTGGTTGATTAGCCACGATGGGCTATGTCAATTGATATAAAATAATCTTTATTTCAAGTTATTAAGCAGGCTCGTCTGGTGATATGGAGCCATTGCATTCCATAATCCCTTATATTGCCAGAAACATGAATCGGGCGTTGTAAACCCTTGCAATATAAACATAGACTAATAAGTAATAAGTATAGAGTTATTATAGTGTCTGAATCTACACAGTCGGTATATAGCATGCAATGAAGTACGAAATATTCATAGAGATTATTTATAGGCTTCATAGTATTGACAGAATATTATATTTCAAGACTGGGACATTGATCCCCGTCTCTAACATTGTACTAGACCCCAAAAAAGTACGTAAGAAAAATGTATTCTATATCTAATTTGAATAGAGTTCTTGCATTTGGCAGTCGTCACCAACCTTTACGAACGTCATAGTTTCGAATAGAAATTATGGCAAAAGACTTTTAACAGCCTATACTTCCCAAATTACCTAAGCGATTAACACTGGTGCGTCACGAAATAACAACGGGTTTATCTAGTTCGCTAAGAGGTCCGTTTGATGTGACGATGGAATCTCTACCTTAGGGGCATTAGTTTAAAGTCCACATTACTTAACAACATTTAAAGTCCATTATCTCGTATTCTCCGCGTTCTCGGTGGGTTTGTGTTGGGGCGTAGATTTCTCGAGACGGTTCTTTAGTGGTGTACTGTATTCCCAGCCGTCCTCGCCTTTAGGGTTGAATAACTGAAAAGGAAGAATACGATGTCATTATTGTTTTAATATTAGGTTTCTATGGTTATATGGAGTATAGACGAGCTCGTCAGTTACGTACTACCAATGAGACATGAAACCCTATTTTTAATATAGTATAGCATAATCATAGGCATGGCAGACATTTTGACGGTTTACATGATAGTAAGTGGAAACCGTTGCGTATATACATGAATAGCACAACGGACATCACGTTATCATGTGACACCCGTGATACCACTCATCGTCACCATTGCCCTTCCAGTGGACTAAGAGGTCATGCCACTTATCCTGTAATTTCACTGCCTAATCGCACCGTACAAACGAGCAAATTTAAATAGCAAAGTTGGCCTGGCGGCTAAAACTTCTCGACGTCGTTGTCGGCGTAACTGGAGTGTCTGCGTATGCACATAAAACTACGTCTCTTCTCGACGTCGTTGTCGGCGTAACACCATCCGCACGAGTGTCGGCGTACGTACACGCAAACTCCACTTATTGGGAAAGACGTTGCACTACACATTCTCCACGTAACATCACCCGCACAAGTGTCGGCGTAGTCTACTTGTCGCCGGCGCGCTTGGCAGCGGTGGCGATGTTCCTGTAGGCGTATGTACCTGCGTAGTCCTTTTCTCAGCGGCAGCATCGCGTCGCTTGGCGCCATCGCGCTATGCCCGCTCGACTTCGGTGTCGGCGTAACACCATCCGCACGAATGTCGGCGTACGTACCTGCGTGGTCCACTTCTCAGCGGCGGCATCCCGTCGCTTAGCGGCGTCGCGCTGCGCCTGCTCGACGTCGGTGTCGGCGTAACACCATCCGCACGAATGTCGGCGTACGTACCTGCGTGGTCCACTTCTCAGCGGCGGCATCGTCGCTTACTATGCCCGCTCGACTTCGGTGTCGGCGTAACACCATCCGCACGAATGTCGGCGTACGTACCTGCGTGGTCCACTTCTCAGCGGCGGCATCCCGTCGCTTAGCGGCGTCACGTTGCGCCTGCTCGACGGCGCGCTTGGCGGCGGTGGCTGCTTCTGTATCGGCGGCTCGCAGGCCGGCCGTCACGTGGCGCCACACGCGGCGGGACTCCGCCGCCGCCTGCCGCGACACCGGCGCCACGCGCTTCCGCCGCGGCTTCATGCTCGCCACCTCGAACAGCACCTCCGTCCTCTGCGACGATACCAATTATATTATATATTTGTTTGTTTGGGGTAATCTCCGGTTCCGCACTAAGATTAACTCCCTATAACATTTTTTATGGTAATCAAATTTCTTCCAAAAATGCGTAATTTTCGAATGAATTTATATAAACACAAAAATATGTTAGTGTCGAACTGTTTAAGAGTTATACAATTATTATATATTTGGTAAAGTATTTTTTTTTAAAGTAAATATAAAAACTATTTTATGTATACATCTATTTAATGTCACTCACCCCAGACTCGGTCCATCGTCCATCCATCCTGGAGTTCCACTCGCCCTGCGCGGTGTAGTACGCCTTCTTGTCGGTGCCGGCGTACACTTCGCACGTGACGCGGTGTTTCTTGCCCCCGTAGAACGGCTTAGTGAGGAACTCTATGTTCGCTTTGTGGCCAGTTTGGACACACTCGATAACTACAGAACCGCCCAGTTCTATCCACGGCACTGTCAGTATTGATCTGCAAAGATGAGATGTACATGTGACATTTAGTGGAGGATGATAAGATGAGCATGAGGTCAGGTCAGTTAGCACAATGTGGCAAATTACAAAAAAACTTGTCAAGAATTTTAGAAACGCTATGGTGGGGCACGGCCTAAAAGGTTTATGCACTTAGCAGTTTGCCAATTAAATAAAAATCGATATATTGATAAAAATGGATAAAATGCTAAGTTTCTTTTACTGTTACTTATTTTTTTGTTACCCTAGTAACTATTATGTTTATTTACTTTTGACAATCTTTATACTAACCTGCCATATCCATTAGGGAAGGTGAGAGTATACTCCTCGCCGGTATCGAGTAGGGTGACAGTTCCGCGTCCTATGTTGTGGACGCCGATGGACAGGCCGAGGAACTTGCTCTTGGTCCACACCCACGCCTCAAACTGTATGCGCTTGTTGACGTGTTCCGCATAGAATGCAGAGATCGGTGGGTGATGGGACACTTGCTCCGCCACAAAGGACAACTGGTCTGGTGTACACCATGGCACTGGGCCGTCGCCGACTTCCTGCTGAAGAACGTAATAATAAACTAAGTACTACACAGGGTAAAAGAAAAAAGGCAGATATTGAATACAATAGAAAATAGACGAGAAAAAATGTTAGGACACTTGACATGGTACGATGAATTTATGAAAATTATTATTGAGGGGAAAATAGAAGGAAAGATCAAGGCACAGCTACATTAATAAAATTAAATGCATGCGATGCGAGTCGTGTTATATCAACATTTAAAGAGCATGATGGAAGATCGCTGAAAGTGGCAAAAGCTCCACCGACAAGAGCCTAGCTCTTAAATTATGAATGAATGAATGAATTGACCGGTGCAACTTCTTCTATGTCACAATTTTTTATTAACCCTGGACAAATAACACAGCGCCATCTATATAAAGATCACGTGTCACACTGTTGTTATCCAAATCCTCCGAAACGTATTGACGGATTTTTGTGGATATGTTTTTGTGTACATTTGGTAGATTTGAGAATAGGTATTTTTTATATCCCTAGAAGATAAGGGTGCCCTATACAGAAATTTTCTTTACTAGAATTAATTTATACGACAAAACAATGTTTGCCGGCTCAGCTTACATTTATTATCAAATAATATTGAAATCTTACCACGTTTATTTCTATTTTTGATTTCCCGTTATCTTGGCTACGTTGCAACCACTACAATTATGGACAAACTGTTCTGTTCAGTGAGTTCTCTCTTTTCTATTCTTTCTGTTATTGTCTCGTATTCAAATATGAACCTTACGGCACTCTTAACCGTAGAGTCAAATTCGCACTTCACTGGTATCCTTACCTTCTCAGTATTGGATGTGTGGGTCTCCGCGCCGTCCAATTCCCAATGGCATCGGAACACCTCGCCGAGGATCGGGTTGTAGGGTTTCTTGGCGACCTGGGACTTGCGACCGGCGTGGTATGAACTGAGGTACCATCTAACCACTTGCACCATGCGGTCGCGAGGAGTTGGCATGTCTACTATCCTGGAATAGGGGGAAGGGGATTGTTAGTAATGTGGTCAAATAACCGTAATCATGTATTGCTTGCAATGTACCGTATTGTTTGACCATTATTCCCCTGAAAACCATAGTGATAAATTCCTGTTGGTGTTTTCGATGGACTTACTGATTTGACCTCATACTCATCTCATCATCTTTCACTAGTGTCCCACCACGGTAAACCATTAGCGAATGGTTTTGTTAACTAACACCATGAAGGGCAAACTTCTAATTTTAATACTGCTTTCAAACAAACTTGCCGATAACAGACAAATGTAATAAAAAAAAATAAAATCCACAAAAGTCATAAAACTTTATATATGTAAGTAAGTATGGTATTATCTTAATCTTAATAATATTATTAACGCGAAAGTTTGTAAGTATGGAAGTTTATTATATTACTCTTTCACGGAAAAACTACTGAAAGGATTTTGCTGTAACTTTACAGTAATATAGCTTATGCATCAGAATAACACATAAGCTATATCTTACATTAAATTTAATACGGGTGAAACCGCAGGCACAGCTAGTTAATAATAAAGTTAAACGAGTTTTAACACGAATAAATTTATGGTAAAAAAAGGTATTTACTTCTTTTGTCTTTTCGACTAGATTGCACACTAGCTGTGGTCACTTACTTTTTAACTATATTAATAAACGCGAAAGTTTTCAAATAAGTATGTTAATAATCAATATATATATATATATACTTACTTGACGAACTGATCAGGATGGGCGAAGGAGTCTGCATACATTTCTAGGAGTGACCGCCTCTCTAGAATAAACGTTGGCAGCACGACCTGTAACATATAATTCATATAATCAATATGCCATAATCTAGTATATATTTTTTATCTACAATCGTCTAAACGATCTTCGTCTGTCTAGAACTGGACAGGAGACTGCCAATACAGTTTCAGATACACATTCATACACATCAGATACCATATTTGGCTGGGCAAGGAGAGAAATGCGTGCTGTGAAGGTACGTCGGCAAAGGGGCCGACGTACGTGACGGGTGACAATATCCGGGAAACGCTGCCCAGAGTTTCCCTCCCTACCATACGATGGACCTAAAAATTCTAAGAAGTTCGACTCATATGATAAAGAAGCAGACCCATCTGCTTGAAAATACTAACCGTTATATATATACATGAACAGCATTACAAATCTAACTTTGGTAACTAACTATGTACTTAGGTTATTGTCTTTCACAAATTCACCGTTTATTTCTGACTATATTAAAAGTGTCTATAATTAGACCTATAAATAAAAATATGTATTTTGATTTGATAAAACAAATATTATGACACCTATGGAACTTTCCTACGTTACCAGTTCTGAGGACTATTCCTATATGATAATTAAATTATAAAGTACGGACTCCATAATTTCATTGACATATGGAGTATGACCTGAATTGCAAAAGAAGCTGCTGGTTGCAGATATAAGTAAATAAACGGCTAGACCACCAAGGCTGACAATAAATTACTACGAAATTTTATTACAATTTATAATCCAATTCAATACCACCTATTTTCAAATCAGTAAAATACAGATGAAATAGCCCTCATCTTCCGAAGTCAATTACAAGATCAATTTTCCTTAAGGCGACACTAAAATAGCAAACTAAATGATGTAACAGCAGTCGTCAGTTTGCGAAGCCATTAAGTAAACTCACACGAGGTCTCTCCGAGGAGTACTAGAGTTTGCCCTTATGTTGAAGGACACTTCCGACATTATACGGAGTCCGATTACAGACCTCTTTAATATAAAATTCTACATCACACACACATTCACAGCAGTAAATCTAGATAGGGTAGACACAAGCATTTCTTTTTTGTAGTTTATCTACTATGGAATGGTGCACCGACTGTGCTAATGGCAGGAAACGAATAGTTAGAGATTTTTCTGCTTTTTGAAATGTTATCTTAATTTTTTTATTATTTATTTATTCTGTATATCAAATAACACGACTTGAACAGTAAATAATTTTTGACACAGTCCACACAGCGGAGCAATTACCAATTTGAAGTTATATTGTAAAACGAAAAATTGCTAAAAACTTTGACAAATAAAAACTACAAGATTATAGGTCTCATTGTTGTCAGCTTGATGGGAGACGCCATGAAATAAAAGACTGTCCACCAGGTGCTTGAAAGTACACTTATATTAATAGTATCCTGATGTGCCCAAAATCATAATTATTATTACAATTATTATTAATAATCCTGGACAATTCACGAAGCGCCATTTAGACCCAAGTTAAACAGAGTGTGGCGTTTGCGTTATCAACGTCTACTACAAATGGAGACAACAGGTATTGGTTTCAGGCAGCCATAGGCTACGGTAACCGTTTACCATCAGATGGGCCGTATGCTTGTTTGCCACCATCGTACTATAAAAAAATACTTAAATATATTTTGTAACTATATGCATAATATACATAGAAAACACCCAGATCGATACAAACAATCCTACTCATATTCATGAGCATGGAACAAACATTTCTATTCAGAAATGTTTGTTCCGTGCTAGGAATCGCACCCGCGACTATCGTTATTAAGGCGCTGTGCTAAACCGCTAGACCACCGAAGGAGTAAAATTATATGATTTTATAAATAAGTTAGGATATGCTAGTCACACGAGGGCGTAGTAAGGAGTCTCGTGAAACTATCGCCGTAACTGGATAGCTCTGTACCATCATACAAGTTTGATGGAATATTAGGAGAATAAATATTTAGTTTCTCTGATCTGACTATTGACTGACCTTTGTGAGATCCATTCCAATCTTGACCTGTGAGAGGAGATGAGTAACCACTGAGCCGTGGTTCTCCATTGAGCCCAAGTCGCTATCCGATTCATCTTCATACAGTGCTGTAATATAAAATAATGTAATCATTATATAGTATAAAACAAAGTCGCTGTCTGTCCGTCCCTATGTATGTTTAAGTCTTTAAAATTACACAACTGATTTTGAAACGATTTTTTTAATAGATAAAGTGATTCAAGAGGAACTTTATATGTATATAGTACACCCGGGCGAAGCCGGAGCGAGTAGTTAGTTAATATATAAATTGTAAAACTTAAATTGATTTTATATTTACATTTGTTTAGATTGTCGCTTATAAGTCGATCCAGAATTATTATTTTCTTCTACAATTTTGTTTTATGTGCCATTATTTATCCTAAGGTCTGAAAAGTGTTGTAGTTTTCGCTGCAGCAATATGCTGAGCGGAGTCCTTTTTAGCAAATATTTCTTAGTAGTATATTGGTATAATTATTATTTTATTAAGTTGGAGTTATTTCCGACGGTAGCGGTTTATTTCCTTAATTTATTATTATATAAAATATTATCTATATTACATTACAAAGAGGAAAGATTGAATTGTTTGTTTGCATTGAATAGGCCCCAAAGTCATTGGACCTATTTGAAAATTTATTTTACCATTAAAATCTTACATTATCAAGTACCAAAAAAAGTAAATAAAATAATAACAAAAAGTTCATTCATAATGTATTTTATTGTGTTAAAATTTATAATATTTAACACCTAAATATTTAAACCAATAGTATTAAAAGAAATTTTAAGGGGGTCTTCCTATGTGACGGCCTGTTTTTTAGGGATATTTTAGGATTTTTTTTCTACGACCAGTAAATATTTAGAGCTTCAAGTTTTTTATCATTTATTAACACATATTTGGACAGTATAAATATAAAATTTCAGCTAAAAATATTCAGTCAAACTTGAGTTACAGCGCTCTGAACACCCCCGCCTCTAAAAAAATAGCTCCCACTTCCTCCACGATTCCGGCTGATCGGCTTATCTGAAAAAAAAAAAAAAACGGCGTTTTAATTTGTAGGCTTAAAAGCACGGAATGACCTATAATCAAATGAATATAAAAAAAATTGGATTTTTGATAGACAATTTAAATAAAAGTTGGAAATTAGGCGTTTTTTTTTTTTTGTTTTTTGCTATAAAAGTTTTGAAGTTTTGAAAATTTTCGATTGATAATAGTTCATTCCATGCGTTTACATATATTGAGTGTGCCCTGTAAATTTCAAGTAATTCGGTCCAAGATACAATGGAGGATTTGAAAAACACAGTTTTGAGAAAAACGCGTTTAAAGTTTCATCCGTTAAAAACTATTAATATCAACTTACTCTCATCGGCGATGCCTGGTCCATAGAGTATTCCTTCCTCTTCCTCGTGAAACTCTTTTAAAGCAGATTGTTCAGCTCTTGAGTCAATCCTGGCTTGTTTAACGACATCACTTACGCGCCGCTCAGAGCGTAAGATTCGCTTTTCATCCCGGTTCTCAACATACGCTTGGGCTTCAACCAACAGGGCATCCCATAATCGACATAACTTTTAAAATACCTTGAAAACCTTCATTAAAGATAATAACTGCTAAGTAAGCAATTTCAACAACTTTGGGACCAGAATGAAGATGTTTAGGAGCGAAAGTCCAAATCATTCAAATATTCGTTATTGTTTTGTGTCTCTGCTCCTAAACAACGAATTAATAATTCGTCTTTCGATAAATCTTCGAAAACCGGTTTGATAGCTTCTTGGACTTGCGGAATTAGAGGTGGTTTATCGTGATGAAATTGGTCCAGTTCATTATTAGCTTCAGCCTTACGCCATTTACACCAACTGTCTTCGCCTTCTGGACAAAATTGATGCTGAGGGTTTTCATCATTTTTTACTACGACCAGGATGAACATTTCCACTCGTACTTCCTTTCCGTCCACTCATTATGAAAAAAAATAATTTGTAGCTGTTGCTCTCTTCGAAGTTCAACCAAGACTAAAATAACTTCGGTAAAATATTATAACAATAGAAATTTCTGTTTAAGTCTGTAGAAACGTGTCTAAACTTGTATAAACAAATATATTAATAAAAGGGAGGCCAGGTATAAAGCCGACGGTACACAATAGGCCCGGTCTCTAACTGCCAACTCACCGCTCCGAACAGCTCTTTCTTTTACCTGCTGTATCTTTAAAACGACTTCGAATTTTCTAAAATCGCTTTACTACCGTATTCTAGACATGTTAAGGGAGCAATTTATGAAAAAAAAAAAAAATCGATTTTTTCAACCCATCACATAGGAAGACCCCCTTAAGTAATGTGATTTCAACTATATATTTATTTTAAAATACGCTTATCATTGTACCCTTGGGTAATAGGAGTTCTATTTTTATGGCGAGTCATTTGTAGGTAACTAGAGTTAAGACCAATTCAATTTAGGATCCCCAGGAATGATGCAACAAGCGCACTTAGTACTACAAATGAGACGGCAAGGTTTCAAGTCAGGGCATACACGTCACCTGTTACGAGAACCGGGGTGTGAGTCACGAACGACGAGCGACGAACGTGGTCGGAATGTGAAAATAGGGTTGCCAGGTGACAATTTGAACACACGTTACAAGTGCGTAAACAGGATTTTTTATAATTAGAATAATAATAACACAGGACAATTCACGCAATGCCACCGGGGCCCAAGCTAAGCGAAGCTTGTGTTATGGATACTAAATAACTGAGATAAATGCTTATATAGACTTTTTTCTGTAAATTCGTAATACACATAGCAAACACATGTATTATTTATTTATTTTTCATTGTACTAAAATGTGTGTGGGAAGCTTAATGAGATATGTATGAATATTCGATTTTGGTAAAGGTTATGGATTTTAAACAAATAACAAACAGCCTTAGAAAGTTAATCTTTCTCCAATAAACATATAGACAAATAAAAATAACAAATAATACGACTGTTTAATTTTTATCATTAATTATAGCCCTTTATTCAGATTTTTATTCTTACTTTTTATACTATATCTAATTCTTGGTCGTCTGCTTGCTTCCAAGCAAAGGCCTCCTCTAATCTTTTTTAGAGGAGGAGACTGTTTAATTACGTAATTTTTAAATAACTACACAACACCCTCAAGTTGAATTTAGAAAAGGACTTAAGCTGTTTAAACTAAATTGTCGGTTCCATTAAAGAACCGAACAAAAGAACAGATATAAGCTATTGTTGATATTTAACATGAAATAACATGCTATTTTCTATTACAATTACATACAAATATGTTTCACAAAACTACAAAAATCTTAAAATAACTCTCCTAGAAATTGTTTAAAAAGTAGAATAAACGAGTAAATAAACAAAAATTACGTAAAAAAGAGATTAAGTTTTTGTAGAGAGCGTGACAACCCTAATCAATGAGGATATATAATATACACAAGAGTGAGGAATGTTCGCTTTCCACGTGAGGTCTGAGGGCACGTACAGTGTTATGAAGATGTAACATGCAACGTGTCACTACTGGAGGTGTTGGCCGTCCATTCGATAAGCTTCGATAAAATAATTCAGTTAGCTTCATTAACTGAATATTCAGTTCTGTAAACTGTAAATTCTGTAAACTTAAAGTCGTCTGCGTCGGCACCTCGCCTACATCAACTGAACAACAGCTTGCTTTGTAAGACGTTTCGGTTGAGATAAGCCAGTGATAGTATTATTATTTTCACTATTGTCACATTTTCTCAGCTTGTAGTAGTTTTTTTACCACACTTACGGGCCGAAACCAAGTTAGTGCAGTGTGTGGGTTATTAATTATTATTATTTCAGGACAATTTACACAGCGCCATCTAGACCCAAGTTAAGCTAGCTAAAGCCTGTGTTATGGGTACTAGATAACTAATACAAATACATAGATTTTGTTTTTGTAAATACATACATATTATACATAGAAAACACCCAGAGCGACACAAACAATCATACTCATGAATATAAATGTTTGTGTCGTGCGAGGAATCGGACCCGCGACCATCGGAAGTAAAGCGGTGTGCTATACCACTAGACCAACGAGTAACAGAGACATTTCATCAGATGATGACGTATAATATCTTTATTCCGGCACAAACATTTGTATGATTGTTCATATCGGTGTGGGTGTTTTCTATGTATTAATATGTATGTATTTACGAAAAAAATATATATCTATGTATTTGTACCCACAACACAAGCTTTAGCTAGCTTAACTTGGGTCTAGATAGCGCTGTGTGAATTGTCCTGAGATTATTATTATACCTTGTATGTGTCATTTTACGCAAAAATTAATTTCATTTATGTCTAATGTTACTTACCATCGTAGTCGATCTCCCCGTCTCTGGTGCGCGGCAGATCGACAGCGGGCTGCGCCGAGTCCTGCTCGGGCGCACCCTCCGCCGGGCACGTGCGGCTCGCGCTGTTAAAAAACAAACAAACATTATATTACATACTGTTCTTCTTTGTCCAACCCATGTTCACAGTTTATCTGGGAACGGGTCTCCCTGTCACAAATGCGCCAGAGAACTCTGTATTAGGGTTTTTCAAGACGGTTTTTTAAGGGTAGGGAACTTGCACGTGATATCTCTGGTGTTTCAGGCGTCTATAGGCTACAGGATCCATTTACCACCAGATGAGCTGTATGCTTGTTTGCCACCATGGTAGAATAAAAAAAAATGTTGTCTCATGTCTTAAAAAATGTTGTAATCGCGTTTAATGATATAAATGCTCCCTAAAATACACCATTACAATCATTTCCGGCATTCCCCTAAATAATAGTTAATTCCCCTGATATATAAGGATCTCATTCACTAATTCAATAGCAAGCATGGGGTACCTATCAAACTTCAGTGTAAAATGTTTAGAATTTATTAATTCTACTCAGCTGCAGAGTAAGCTGCAGATGCTGCTACATACTGTATTGTATATGGGAATATCACTGTGAGACTTGAAGAATGGTCGTATAGAATATTAATATTATTTATTTTTATATTACACACAATTTTAGTCTACACCGGCGTCTCGTTATCAGTTCTTCATTTTAAAAGTCTCCAATGACAATGCCTCAAAATAGTGTAATAGTGATTTATTCCTTAAGAAACAGGTTTTGTTTCACGCTTAAAAGGCTGAGAGCATGGTTATGAAATTTAATATGATTATAAATTGTAACACAAACATATTATTTTTATCACAAAAAAAATCAACTCGTAGTTTTTATTAGTAAGGTCATAACTTTTTTTTACTACCAATTATTTTGATTGTTACAAATATAATTGTTGCAGATCGCCCTAATTTCTCTATGTCGGCTAAATGCCAATAATTCTGTACAAATAGTAACACGTATTTACTCAGTAATTTATAGGCTGTTTGTGTTCATATTTAATTGGCAGATTTAATTAAATAGAAGTCAAGGCTTTGTGCTAGTAATAAACATTGAAATTACAGGAATATAAATATGTACATATGTAGATTAAATAATAAATATGGGCACATGTAATTATTTAGTTTAACATAGTTTAGGTTGCAATTATCCTGTTATGTTAAACTTATGAAACATAAGACACATAATCTGCATGCAACCAAACTACAGTCACGTTAGTTTCATAAGTTTCATTGCACGTAGTGGACTCAGTAACATCGCCATGAACTTGCCATGTGCAGTTTTTTTAGTAGGGGGTTTGGGCTATTGTCAGTTGCTTGGACCTGTAGCACTGCGACCTATATACATCTATTGTTCTCGCCCATTTTCAGAGTGCGCTACCTAGATCCGTCAGGGACAAGAATGGAAGAATATTCTTAGAAGTGATGGTTTTTATCTCTTCAGGATAGAGTGTAAACTTTTCAAAGACGATATTACGTTTATGCATGAGTGGGCTACTCTACTACTACTACGATCGCATAGCATATGCTAGCGGCGTTTCCTCTTCCATTTGGCAAAATCTGCAGACTTTTGTTGTACACATGCCTAGGTTTGCCATATGTTTGTTCAATTTGCAGTGTCCTGTGAGGGTCATGATGCGTATATTGTTTTTACTCAATACTCTGCTAAACTTAAACTGCCATGGGCTTACATTTACATCGCGCGCGCTTACAACAGCAGATAAAATATTTATATTACATCTTTTAAAATAATGGTTAAGTTAATCTTTTGCTATGAGATGGGCTAGATACTATTGTGGCTTTCCCATATATAAAAAAATATCGCTATAAAATCGCAAGTTTACATCAGTTTAGGGTGCGATGAAGGTTTTTTACGTTATGCGTAATAATAAATCATTACTAAAACATCGTTAGATATAATATGGTAATTAGACATTTCAACCCGCGAAAGCCTAGCATAAAGCCGCAAGGTCACACCCATACACACAATACAACTTGTGATTTATTACTACAAAAAGTTACCATATCCTTTCATATAGCCAAAATATATTTTTAATATAATAAAAAGATAATAGTCTGATTTTTCATTAAATGTCATCATGAAGTTCAGATCACGGTTTCAATAATGTAATTGTTTTGTTATATTGTGGCTAAATTTATAAATATTATTATAGAGAGTAGTATTAAGATGCATCATAAGTAAACGTTTGAGGCAGAAGTCTTTTATTCAACATATTTTAAATACAATACAGATGCGAGATAGTTTACACGTCTATAAAATTGTAAATATTTAAGAATAAATCGAGCAAATACCAATATTTTGTAAATACATACATACACCTTGGAAACTATTATCTATATATTGTGTATATATACGTGAAGCAAAAACTCAGTACCCCATTTTTACAAAAAATGTGCGCACACTTGTAGTATATATAGAGGAGTGCAGAAAGCTAAAATTATAAGTTCAAGTCTTCATATTAATTAAATAAAAAAAAATCTTTTATCTAAAAATATAGAATAAAATACAATAATTAATATATGTGTGTGTAATACATACACACAAACACATTAATTACTAATGAGTCAGTATGAAATCAATATTTTATACTACCAAACACCAAACGACCAAACACTATAAATGCCAATAGTCCTAAAACTATATAAATACTGTAAGTAGTATATAAAAAAATTAAGTATGCACTATACTAAATCGATATAGTAATATAAACGACTCGCCTTGACATTGCAGGGTTGTCAATTTACAAGAATATTGTGTATTTTGTCAGCTACAGAAATATGTGGGGTAAGAAGAAAGTAAATTGCTTAGTCAAAAATGTCCGTCTCGGTGACATCTTCATATCTTTCATTATTGGATTACTTATTAAATTTGGAATTTTTATATATTTTTTTTAATGTTGTTACCTAATGTATAATTGCTTAATCAAAAATGCCCGTCTCTGTGACATCTTCATATCATTCATTATTGAATTACTTATTAAATTTGGAATTTTACATATTTTTTTAATGTTGTTACCTAATGTATAATTGCTAAATCAAAAATGCTCGTCTCTGTGACATCTTCATATCTTTCATTATTGGATTACTTATTAAATTTGGAATTTTTATATATTTTTTTTTAATGTTGTTACCTAATGTATAATTGCTTATTTTTTTTTTAATGTTGTTACCTAATGTAAATTGCTAAATCAAAAATTGTCTCTGTGACATCTTCATTCTTTCATTATTGGATTACTTATTGTATTTTATTATATTTGCTCACCGGAAACATCAGAATAGAATAGAATGTCCTTTATTAAAATTAATTTAATTTAAGCCCTTTTGAATAGTCATAGTTATCTTTCTTTTCTATATGTATTCTATATAGACACAGTTTGGCACTTACATTATTTTCATGTAGAAGCAATATACAAATAAGCTATATTAATTGTAGGTAATTAATATTTATTCAACAAATACCTACATGCTTTCTCACAACCATACTATCGTTGGTGGGAATGTAACATTTGCATCCTTGACCATGGCGGTGTCAAGGCAGTCTGTTCGCCATTATAATTAGGGCTGCCAACTTTTAATAAGAAAAATAATAATAATAACTCTGGACAATTCACACAGCAACTGATACAAATGCTTATATTAACTTAAAAATAAATGTAAATACATGAATCTTTTATATATAAAATACACACCAATAAAAAGAAACCTACGTTTATATACGATTACAATAAGTTTGTATCGTGCGAGCAATCGAACCCGCGACCATCGGATGTAAGGTTTATATGATAGACCACCGAGATAATAAAAAATAAATATAAAAATAAATTTCAACTTTTAGGTGTAAAAATATATTTTAACTGCTGTAGAAGGGTAAAAATTTTGCCTATAAAATTATCACTTAGTGGTATAAAAATATATATAAATCTATTCTTAGACCTACCGAATATGCATATAAAATTCCATCAAAATTTTGGAGGAGTATGGCATCTAACTCTGTGACGAAAATTTCTTATATTAGTTATAGGTAGATAGATAGTATGTATTATAGTGGACAGCCCTAATTATGTCACACCGTACCATACTTGTATTGATCACAAGTTAGTGTCTGTGGGACACGTATTCCTTACCAACTAAGAAACGGTTATTACGCAGGGCGTTACTTTCGAAAGTATTCGATAATTAACTACATATTAAATAACTTTACTTTGCATGAAAAATATTACGCTTGATTTAAATATCGAATAACAATTGATGGGTTAGGTGGTTTAGGGATAGACACCTAACTTCCGATGGATTAGATTCCTCGCACAGTACAAAAAATTGCATTCATGAGTATGATTGGTTGCATTCCCAAAGATGTTTCCTATTTATATTATGTATGTGTTTACAAAAAAAAATGTGTTTATGTATTTCTATCAGTTGTCTAGTACCTATAACACAAGCTTTGAGTAGCTTGTACCTATATGGTATTATGTTAACTGTCCTGGGTTATTATTATTAATAGTTTCGGAGAAAAAATAGATTTTAATCCAATTAATCAGAACGTTCAAAATGAGTGGGCAATCAACGAATAATTGACCATACTAATACTTCTTCAGCATGGAGTAGCCCACCGTTGGGCACATGCCTATCCGATCCATTTCAGCTGCATGGTTCGTGGGTTGCCGGTGACATACTATATAAATGAGAAATTGTCTGCCAGTCTGTCTAAATAGTTGAACGGATCCTAAAAAAAATTGGCGTCATAAATTGTATCACTAGAATTTTATCTTAATAAAAAGTTTATTTTTTACACAGACGGTTTTTGGATAGACTTTGATATACGTTTAATTTCGCTATGTAGTTGCCAAAATTTCTTCCTAACCCCTCTATTTGTCCATTTAAATAAGATGGAAGTGGGCGTAGCATTCAGTTTGCCAAATTCAACAAAGACGGAAACATCTCGCCTTATCGCTCTAACAATACGTAGACTCTCCTAATAATACTAATATTATAAAAAGCGAGGGTTTTTTTATGAAATTT